GTTTATTACTTTATGAACTGTTATATTATGTAATTGCAACTTGGGTTGATATTTAAAATGTTTTTAAATTGATTTTTTGGTATAACTGTTAAAACTAAATAAATATTTGTTAATTAATATTCGTTTGGGTGGATAGGGTGGCTATAAGGGGAGATGTGGAGGCCACAGAGGGTTAGGGGGACTTTTCCTCCCTAATCGTGTGTTTAAATAATAATATGACAGTTTATAAATAAATAACGTTCTTTTTTGTATTTTCTTTGAAATTCCATTCGTTATCTTGTCTTTCCCGTTTCAGGTATTTTGTGTTGTAACTTTTATAAGTCATTATAAACTGTTATTTCTGAGATATCTTGTTTGTATCATGTGTAATACAGTTATTTGAAATAAATATCGTTGTAATAGATGTAATTTTTGTCTAAATAAATAAATCTTAACTCATATTGTTTTATCATTGGCGTGTTACACTTGTGTAATAGATGTTGAATGCATTTAAAACAAAGTAAAATAAAAGTTAAATATGTGCCTTGGATCGCCTTTATCAGTATGAATTTTTATTCTGGGAACCTAAGCGATCGCAGCGCCCTCTAGCGACAAACAGCCGAACTAGAAGGTTCGACGATCGGCCACCAGAGGCGCTACAATCGGTAAGACCCGAATTATTGCAGCGCCATCTAGCGGTGCACGCTCGAACTCCAATAGTTCGACGGATTGACAGTAGAGGCGCTCCCGTCGCACCCCCTGGCGGCACATCTGCGAACTAAGCAGTTCAGTCACCAACCGCTAGAGGGTGCTGTGATCAGTCGGATGTTACCGATTGTAGCGCCTCTGGTGGCCAATGGTCGAACCTTCTAGTTCAGGCGTTTGTCGCTAGAGGGCGCTGTAATCGGTAATATTCACTGCTTACCGATTGTAGCGCCTCTGGTGGCCGATCGTCGAACCTTCTAGTTCGGCTGTTTGTCGCTAGAGGGCGCTGCGATCGCTTAGGTTCCCAGAATAAAAATTCATACTGATAAAGGCGATCCAAGGCACATATTTAACTTTTATTTTACTTTGTTTTAAATGCATTCAACATCTATTACACAAGTGTAACACGCCAATGATAAAACAATATGAGTTAAGATTTATTTATTTAGACAAAAATTACATCTATTACAACGATATTTATTTCAAATAACTGTATTACACATGATACAAACAAGATATCTCAGAAATAACAGTTTATAATGACTTATAAAAGTTACAACACAAAATACCTGAAACGGGAAAGACAAGATAACGAATGGAATTTCAAAGAAAATACAAAAAAGAACGTTATTTATTTATAAACTGTCATATTATTATTTAAACACACGATTAGGGAGGAAAAGTCCCCCTAACCCTCTGTGGCCTCCACATCTCCCCTTATAGCCACCCTATCCACCCAAACGAATATTAATTAACAAATATTTATTTAGTTTTAACAGTTATACCAAAAAATCAATTTAAAAACATTTTAAATATCAACCCAAGTTGCAATTACATAATATAACAGTTCATAAAGTAATAAACAAAATACCTGTAAAAGAAAGACAAGAAAATACATGAAATTTCAAAGAAATTACAATAAAAAGCAAAAAAGAAAATGATGTCTTCGTTCTTCTTAGGAAATACCTCATAATCTGAAAGCGAATAGTGCAATTACAAGGACTAACGACAAATACTAATAGCTTTGGTAGAGAAGATCGGACAGATTTCGCCAAGGCAAGCTGGGCAGTCGCCTATTGCTCCTATTCCAGATAACCCACTGTACCCTGTCTGAAAGGAAGTAACGCTAGAGTAGACTCGCGAAAAGTGTATAAGACACTTTTAAGATCAACTAAATAGCTAAGCCCAAGGGAAGTCGTTCGGGGAGGCCCTCC